CCAGCAGAGCAACTTAGCAAGCTAAGCTACAACAAAATGACAAAAGTAGTTTAATTGCAACTAAGCTTTTTATTTTTCATATGGAACTTCCTTCATTCAAGTCATTGCGATCTAGTTAACAATGAACCTGTGAGAAACAAATCAGATCAGTTCAATTGATTATCAAAATCTTGTCTCCTAACAAAACCAATACTTACATTCACACTTCGTTATTCAGGTATAAATTAACATTTAATTCTAAGATCTTAAGATAATAATGCATCTTACAACCACAACCATACCAACATATCTCATAACCTCATTGCTTTTGTTTTGATTAATTTATAGTGGCCAAGGAAGAAAAGGAGCTCTTAAATATTAAAAAAATCAACTGTAAAGCTAAATATCTTTTTTAGGGGTACATTACATTATGTCATGATGGGTTACTGAAAAGCCCAATATGCAGAACACCACGGAGACTGAAGAAAAGTTTAACAAGTTTATTGTTCACAAGCACATGGAAATAACACTGGTACTGGTTCAGGCCTGGGGGCTGGTTCACTGGAGTCTGTGTGGGAGACAGTTCAGTTAGCTTCGACGCAGTTGAGTTTGAGTTTGAGAGTTTCAGGTTTATACCTTGAGTAGTCCGGTTTAGGCTTTGAGGGAGGAACTGTTGGGTCCAGAGATTGTTTAGTTCAGCAGAGTCCGATAACTGCTTCAGCGTCTTACTTCTAGCGTGAAGGCAGACCTTGGCTTTGGGTTTCCAGCTCGTAGTCCAGAGCTGCATGGGAATCCAGAGAAGAGTCTTCAGGTTTGGCTCAGAGGGCAGGCTCGGCAGGTTAAGCTCTTCCAGAGCTCACAAGAGAAAAACAGGATTCCTGAAAGCAGAGACAAAAGGATTAGAATCCAATCTGGGTTCAAGAGCAACAAAGGTTCTCAGAAGATGCTAGGCTCAGGTGCTAACCAAACTGGATTTAACACTGCGGCGTCGAGGCAAGGTCTGAAGGCAGGTTATATACTGTGGATCCCCTGATGATGAGGAGGATCCATGGCGGACTCTGCTAGAAAAAGATGGAACTTCTCCAGCTCCCAACACATTATTTTGCTTCCTGAGCTTAGAAGAATTGGGAAAAAAAAGACACCCAACAGCTCCAACTGGACAAGTGGCTGAAAGGCTCATAAACACATGTAATCAACATTTTTTTCATAATGCGCCTTCAAAAGTTCTTTTTGTAAAGGTATAGGGCAAAAGTAAAGTGAGGAGGCCATTCCAATTTTTTTTTAGGTCTTTTTGTCATTACACTGTCACAAGCAAAGAAATTACCTCTCTGCATTTAACCCATCCCCTTGGGTAGCAGTGGGCCGCCATTGTGCAGCACCCAGGAAATAGTGTGGTATGAAAGGTCTTTGCTCAGGGAGCCAGAGTGGCAGTGGGGCTTGAAGTCAGGACCTCTGGACTCCAAGCACAATGCCCTAACCCCTAGGCTGCCACTCCCCACCGAATCTTCCGCTATACCTTTAAGGGTATAGTGGTTTATTTGTTGTTGGTGGTGTCATCTGACTGGCATGCTTCCACAGTACCTCTGTACTTGTCTTTACCCCAGATGGGACTCAAACCCACAAAACCTGGCTTAGGATGTCAGTGCCTTATAAAGCCATATCTCATCAGAAATGTCAAAATAGGTACAGTCGATGACGAAGGATAAAATTTCTGTGCCGCTGGTGTATGTGTATACTTTCCTCAAAAGTATAGTGGAGCCTTTATTGGTAATAGAATTTTCCCCTAAAAAGAATTCCATTCTTGTGCTCCGTACATACTCAAGAGTTCAAAATGCCATAGAACAGTGTTCTTGTAAATGTTATCTTACAGTTGCTATAGTAGATTAAGTGTATGGTGAATACAATTATAACCAGAAAAGTGGAATGCATAGAAGTAAATATGTCTCTCTTGGATGAATTTTAAAAGCCAGTAAAATTCAAGATTTGTATAATGAATTCCAACGAAATGTCTGTCACCCATAGTGACCTGATCTGCATCATACATTGAAAATTAAACATTGAATTTTCAATGTTAAATTTGGATGTTGAATATCAAACGATGAAATGACCAAGCTGAATTTCGGGATACTGAAAATATTGCTTTTGAATTTTTAAAGGATGAATTAACCTTGCCGATTTAAAATGATCCAGGCTGTGAGCAGAATTGGAGCAACGACAGAGAGGGCACGATCTCCTTTCCTCTTAAGTCGAGTCCGAGGATACAGTATGTCAGTAATAGTTGATTATTTGAACGTAGACTTCTCGACACAGACTGGAATTTTAAAAGGTCTCCAAGATAACAAGGAGCTAATCCATTTAAGACCTTATAGGTTAATGTAAAGAGGCCAGTATAGGCCTTATATGGTCATTACTGGTTCCTGTGAGAAGCCGAGCCGCTGCATTCTGGATCAATTGAAGTCGCTGCATCTGTAAATATGAACGGTAGGTTGCCGTAGTGTAGTGGTTAGCACGTCTGCCTTACACGCAAATGGTCCCTGGGTGGAAACACAACTTTTTAAATATGGAAGTTAGGTCCCCTTGAAGGCAGCTGCGCTTCGAAACTACCGGTTCTTTACCTTGGAGCAAGTTATTTACTACTCTTAACTCAAACTGTGTAAAACCAACAGTGTTTATTCCAGGCCAGGCCATTACAGGACAGAGAAATTGCTTGGAGATTGCACAGCTGTGGGCTCAAACAACGTCAGCGAGCATCCGGCAAATATTGAGCAAAGATTGAGCCCCGAACAAGGTCATCTCCTCCTTATACCTCATGAGTCCATGTTTTGCATCTGGTGGAGGCTGAGCTGTCCGTATCAGAAACTGACATGCTGTTCTGCCCTGACCTGTATGCATCTTGCCTCTATGCCCAAGAATTACAGATAGCTCTCCTCTATCAGACCGGCTCCAAGATGTGCCCATATCCTGTGCATTTCTAAAGACACGAATGCTGTCCTGATTAGATGACCTCCATACACACAGTGACATCCACAATGTGAAGGAAGGCCTTCTACTCTGTCTAATCTGGCTAACAGAATAACAATGCACATGCTGTGTAAAGAATAAACCTAACAATATAATGTATTGCAATAATCCAACCGGGATCTAATGAAAGCATGGATTAGTCCTTCAAAGTCCTTAAAACAAAAATAAGTTTTAAATCAATAAAATAATGGTTCTGCAGGTGATGACCCAAGACCAGTTCTCAGTATCTATGCTTTCTGGCTGATGTTTTGGTCACTTTTGAATGTTTGTGGTGCTTTCAAACTTGTCGTGCTTAGATGAAGCTCATTCAGGATGGCTCGTCATTGCAAGCTTTGGCAAAAACATTTGATGTGTCTGTCAGCATAGTGTCTGGAGGTACCAACAGGAGACAGGTCACTACACGGACATGGAGGACACGTAGGAGGATCAATACCTCTGCCTTTTTGCAAGGCGGAACAGGAGAAGTAAATGTTCATGTGTCTGCACAAATGATTAGAAACAGACTCCATGGTATGAGGGCTATACGTCGACGTGCATTGTGTGCCCAATACACTTGGCAGTTGTCAAAGAACGCCAGGATTGGCAAATGTGATCATTTGTCCTGTGATGTCCCCCAGATGACAGCAGGTTCACACTGAGCATGGGACAGACATGACAGAGTGTGAGGACACCATGAAGAGTGATCTGCTGCCTGCAACATCCTTCAGCATGACCAGTTTGACAGTTGTTCAGTAATGATGTGGGGTGGCAATTCTTTGGAGGGGCACACAGCCCTCTGTGTTCTCGCAAGAGGTAGCATGACTGCTATTAGGTACAGTGATGAGATCCTCAGGCCCCTTAAGATATGCTATTGCGGTTGGCCCGGGGATCCTTCTATGTGGCAGGAGTGGGTCAGCAGTTCCTGCAAGATGAAGGTATTGAAACTATGGACAGGCCTGCCCCTTTCCCCAGACCTGAATCTGAATCATGTCTCCAATGTCACGTTGCATCATAGACTGTCTGTTAGGGGATCCCTCAGGAGACCTTCTGCCACCTCATCAGGAACAGGCCCAGTTGTTTTAAATAGGTCATACAGGCAGGCAAATGTCACAAAAAACACTGAGCCTTATTTTGACCTGTTTAAAGGACATTTCTTCAAAGTTGGATCAGCCTGTAGTCTGTTTTTTCCACTTTAAATTTGGGGTGATCCGAAATCAGAACACATTCTTCCTACTCATTCTTTAAAAGTAGAAAAAATATTACATAAAAGAGGCAAAACAGAAAGCTGCATCATCAAGTTACTACTCCAGCTAGGGATTGGAAGGCAACAATTTATGTTAAAAGAGAAAAACAACCTTAAACAGCGGGGGTCGATTCAGGTTCCAGCTCTCGGAAACCTATAATGCAATGTTAGAGTTGATTCCTTCCCACCATCACATATCCTCATCACCATGCATGTGGCCAAACATTGCGCTTCTTAAGCCAGACCAATGATGATCCTAATGGCTCCCCATTACAAAGGCATCGGCCATTTTCGTTTTAATTTGCCGGCCAACAACAACATTAATGACTGCATATTACAAAGCTGCACACAATAATAGCTTCACCAAACCCCAACAACCCTGCATAACATGGCACTCTTTTACAATGTTGCTAAAGTCCCTCAAAGTATTTATTAGTGAGGGATTTTTTTTTCCTGAATAGAGGAGTCCCTTCTAATGCTCCCCTTGGAAACAGCCCATATCCACTGTAGTGCAAACTTCCCCTGACTTCAAAGAACCAAATTTGAGGGTATATCTCAAACATAAACACTCTGTAAGCCTCCTTTGCCCTAATCAAAATTTGATCCATAGTGTACACCATTGCAACCTTATTTTGCAACACAAAATGTGCTGAACAAAATATATTTTAATGTGAAATTACATTTAGAAAAATGTATAATTTTATGATTGCATTTATATAGTTAAAAAACATACATTTGTAATGGAAAAAGATTGTTGTCCTTTTCTTGCAGGGTGGAAATGAGTTTTTTTAATCAGGAGGCCTTGAAATCAGAAAGTGTTCAAATCCATCATGGACCTCCTTCTATCTACCAGCTGATACCAAAAAAAGAGCTGATTGGAACCTTGACCAGAGTGACGATTGGTGAGAAAGATGCGAGCAAGACCAATAAAACCATCTTATTAGTTGGTGAAACAGGAGCAGGAAAGTCCACCATGATCAATGCTCTGTTCAACTATGCTGTGGGTGGGAAGTTTGAGGATGAAGTTTGGTTTCAGATTGTGGAAGAGGAGCAGAGAAGTCAAACAGAAAGTCAGACATCAGATGTTGTTGTCTATCAAATGTTTGGTTTTGAAGGCCAAACTCTACCGTTCTCTCTGACCATCATCGATACTCCTGGATTTGGAAGCACCAGGGGATTTAAAGAAGATGTCTCTGTCAGCCGAAGATTGTTTGATTTGTTCAGATCAGAAGATGGAGTTCATGAGATCAATGCAGTGGGTCTGGTGATGAAGGCCAGTGATAATCGACTGAGTGACCGACTGAAGTACATCTTTGATTCGGTGACGTCTCTGTTTGGAAAAGACCTGGAGAAAAACATAGTTGCTCTGGTCACTCATTCTGACGGAAAACCACCTTTAAATGTCATAAAGGCCCTGGAAAATGCAGAAATTAAATGTTCCAGAGATGAGATGAATCAGCCTGTTCACTTCATGTTTAATAATCAACAGATCGAACAGAGAAACAGAACAGATAAAGATCAGGATGGTTCAAAATACTCCTGGGACTTTACTAAGGAAGAAATGGGTCGTTTGAAGGAGTTTCTGAAAAAAACCAAACCTCAGCCTCTGAAAACAACCGTAGAGGTTCTGAATGAACGGATCAGACTGGAGGCCTGCATCCAGAACCTGGAGCAGAGAATTGAGCTGACTGAACTGAAGCAGAATGAACTCAAACAGATCGAAGAAGCTTATAATAAACATGAAGAAGAGATGAAGGAGAACCAGAACTTTACTATAGAAGTTGATGAGGTATCCAAAGAAAAAGAACCAGTTAAAGGTGGAAAGTGGGGTTTGGTTTTTTTAGAAGGAGCCATCACCTGTTCTGTCTGTGAGGAGAACTGTCACTATCCAGGATGCACAATGGCCAGAAAACCAGGACACTGTGAGGTCATGAAGCGGGATCACTGTAAAGTTTGTACAAATAGGTGTCATGTATCAAATCATGTTAAAGAAAATTGGATTTATGTAATAAAGACCAAAAAGGTTCAGAAGACCCTGGAAGATGTTAAGGCAAAATATGACAAAAATAAAGAAGAATGTGAGAAAAAGTCGAGTCTTTTAGAAAATCTTAAACAAGAAACCATCAACCTGACAGCAGAGCGAGCGTCATTGCTGGATGAGGCCTACAATCATGTTATCAGACTGAAGCAAATTGCTTTAAATGTCAATTCAGGGAACACTTTTAAACACCTGGACTTTCTAATTAAGAAAATGAAGGAAAAAGGGGACCAAGAAAAACTAAAGGTACTTCAGGAGCTGAAGATCAGAATGGATAAAAGACAATGAGGGTCAAACCGAAAGGCAGGGAATTATGAAAATGTTTACTGAAGCTCGGAATTTAAATAAATTATTTTTTTTGTGTTCTCCATCTGAGCTAAGATTATATAGCTATCCCTTAGTTAGCACTTAGAGAAAATATGACAAAAGATACACTGTAAATGTTCATAACCTTAGGCCACAACTGAGATATAAAATTAGGTCCAAAATGTCTATATTAACATAAAATTTGCTATTTTTGATGATCAATTTTTTAGGAAACTAAAATAAATGATGTTAAGTATTTTCTTTTTATTTCAGTTTTTTTTTTTTTTTTACTTTATACTAAACTAGAACACAGCATCCAAGCTAATGAGGAAAATATGGTTATGTTGGGATTTTCTAATATTAAATTAATGATGTAAGTCATGTACTGGTTATTAACTGAATTGGAATGCCTATTAAACATGAACTGCTTATCATCGTTTTCAGTACTTTGCTAGTGTTATACAATTTTTATTGTAGTTTATCTTTGTATGGGGTGAAAAAAAAGCAATATTGTTTTGTCAAGGTCTACTTTATAGTCTGCTCTCCTTCTGCAATAGCTACACGCCTGAATCACCCCCTTCCCGACCCCAAACACGCAACATGTCTAAGGGCTTTATTTTGACAAAGTTTCATTTTGTAATATATAATAATAAATTATTTATTGATCTCACACTGGCTGCCATTATGCCATGCCTGGGGAGCAGTGTGGGATGAGGGATCTTGCTCAGGGACCCAGAGTCCAGGTGGTAGGGATCGAACCGGGTACTTGCAACCGCTTTAGAGCACAATAGCACTGCTCTAACCACTAGGCAAAACACTACCCCCTGATGACGCTGAAACTGCACATGCTCAGCAGGACCCTCCCCATAATCAGAAGAACAAAAGAGAAATCAAAGATCATTTTTAAATTTTTTTAGAAACAATATTTTTGAGTCGTGATGTCTTTTTCATTTAATGTATTTTTTCATGCTGTCCTGACTGTTTGTATAATTTAAATGCAACTTCCTTAGATTGATTTGTTGTTTGTTTCACTTTAAAGCTACATGGTGAGTAGTACTAAATATTTTTGTCTACCAAGCTTGTGGTTTTATGTCATATCTGACACTGATATGTGGGAAGCTACTCAAAACCCAGGAAACTGAGGCTGCAGCTCTGAATGTCCAAGTTTTGGGCACATAAAGATGAGCAGGCCGGAGGTGATTTTTATAAAGCAATTAATCTGACTATTGTGAGAAGTAGGGAGTTCTTAAATCGTTTCACTTGAATGGACATAAAAAAAAAAATATGTATGTATTTCAAGAAATGTTTAATAAATATGTATGATGTCTGCTCCCTTGAAAATCAGTTTTTCTGTTTCAATTCTGTTTTGAAATGTAATTCACACCTTCATAAGTTGTGTTTCCTTTTATAATACCGGATGTTTGATAAAGGTACTCTTTGAAAAAGTTTCAAATTTAATTGCTTCATTTGTCTATATGTGTGTGCACTTTTTAGACAGCTTAAGGTTTCAGTGTATTTGTTAATTAGAAGTTATTAACAATAATAATTGTTGTGATATTTTACCAACAGATTATGAATATATTATTAACCAGAATTGGAAGTTGTAATTAATTAATAGATCATTCAAAATCGAGGGTAAAACCAATTGAACGCTATAGTTGAGTGATCATTACTGTAACCCGCTTACTCACCAGGATTCTTGGCCTATTGCATCTGAATTGGGCTCCTGGACCGCCAGTTAGAAAATCAAGTTATCTCCACCAATTTAGTAAATTTGGCTTTGGCTATCAGCAGTTATTAATCACCAACCAAGAAAGCTGTCTGTTTATGCAGATGTTACAAAGAGGAGGGTGACCTACAAAAAATCTGGCAAAAACGCTGGCCTATGTTGGATAAGTTATGGGTACATTTTGTAAAAGTTATGAGCATGCTGAAGCACGCTGGCAGACGTCAACATAAGATGAGTACTTCAAGAAGTTTTGAGCATGCTCAAAATTTCGAGATCATGCCAGCATATGCCATATGGGGGGCATAAGTTACAGGTAAGTTATTTGATCGTTTACATATGTTAAGTGTAAGTTTCTCATAAGTTGTGGTGTCTACCTTATCCAACACCTCTGAGTAACTTGTGCATAACTTATGCGTAACTTATAAAGAACTTCTCTCCAACACATATCAACATATTTAACGTGTTCCAGATGACCGCCAAACGTGTTTCTTACTTCCAGCTACTGTATAATGGCGTATAGGCAGCGTTTTGATATAAAGGGGGTTCACAGGAGGAAACCGTCAGTTCTCCTCCAGACTTCATCCCCGTCATAGGGTGAGCCAGAGGGTGTGATGGATCCCCACTGTGTAAATATCAGCTAGTTTAATATCGAAATCAAAGACAGGAATCTAGAAGGGAACTAGGAGAAGGAGACTGACACTAGGAGGCAACAGAGGGTAAACAAGAAATACATAAGAACTCAAATACCATTTAAAAGAGCTAGAATATAAGGAAATGGAAATAAAACCAATGATAACTCAAAGAAAAAACGTAAACAGAACGAAAACTATGACATTTTACGGAAATAAATCTTTATCTTATATTTTGATTATGAATATCTAAGATGAACTTACCAGAATAACTGAATTAATCACTGGTTTATGAGTGGAATATACACAACAGAACAGATTAATTTTGACTGTTTTTAGTACCTAAACCTGACTGGAAAAAGTCTATATTCAGAACAAATTTATCAGATGGAATTTAAACATGATATCAGCTATAAATATTAAAATAAGATAAAATTTGGGTCTTTATTCAAAGCAAGTTTATGAGAGCCACACAATTTATCCTCAGGCCGTTAAACATTTTATTTCTGTGCATTAATCCATACAACTTTACAGCTGCACACAAGCTCACTGCATCTATGTCTCTTAATGGTTTTTGAATAGTAATGTCCCAGTCCAATATTGATATCAGATATTACTCTGATATCAGCCAAAAACAAATATCAGAATCAGAATCAGAAATACTTTAATAATCCCAGAGGGAAATTACTTTTGTTACACGCTCTAGTTACAGTTTTACATGATATATACACACATCCAACTATACAATATAATATATAAGATAAAAAATAAGAATAAAAAGAGATAAAATATATATACACATATATTTTATCTCTTTTTA